AAAATTATAAAATAAAAGAAGAAGAAAAGGAAAGAAAAAATAAAAAATACTTACCTAGGTGCGAACTGCGACGGTCGACCGCGGTCCCACCGTGGTCGCGGTGGGTTAAGTAACGTGAGGCAGTACATATTCTTTTCACCGCGGTCCCACTGTGGTTGTAGTGGATCAAGCGACTGCGAGGCAGAAGACTCTTCATTGACCGCGGTCTTGCCGTGGTCGTGATGCGATGATTTATTTTTATTTTTTATAGAAAGTTACAGAAGAAAAAGAAAACAACAACATTCATGGGTTGCCTCCCTTGCAGCGCCTGATTTAACGTCGCGACACGATGCAGGCTAGGATCATCACTCCTCATTCGCGTACTGGGGCTGTTCCAATGTTATTATCTCTCTATCCCCTTTATCTTCTTCCATTCCAAGATAATGTTTCAACCTTTGCCCATTCACTGTGAACTTTTTCGTCCCATCTTCTGATTCAATCTCAACACCTCCACTTGAGAACATTTGCACCACTCTGAAGGGTCCTGACCATCGGGAATTCAACTTACCCGGAAACAACCTCTATCTTGAGTTGTATAACAATATTAGCTCTTCGGATTTGAAGTATCGGTCCAGGATGTGCTTATCATGCATTAGTTTTATCCTTTCTTTGTAAAATCTAGCACTCTCGAATGCCTGGAACTTGAATTCCTCTAGCTCATGTAACCCAGTGACTCTGTTGGTGCCTACTGTCTCCATGTCCAAGTTCAACTGCCGCAATGACCAAAGTGCTTTATGCTCGAGTTCTACTGGAAGGTGGCATGCCTTTCCAAACACCAACTTGTACAATGACATACCAATTGGAGTTTTGAAGGATGTGTGGTACGCCCACAATGCATTATCTAGCTTCTTCGCCCAATCGGTCCTTGTTCCATTCACTGTTTTTGTAAGGACACTTTTAATTTCCCTGTTGGACACTTCAACTTTCCTGCTTGACTGTGGGTGGTACGGGGTGGTCACTTTATGACAAACTCCATACTTTTCCAACAGCTGTGTGAACGCTCTATTGTAGAAATGAGTACTGCCATCACTGAGTATAGCTCTCGGGTGCCAAAACGTGTGAAGATGTTCTTCTTTAGAAAGCTGTTACCCCTTTAGCATCATTGGTTGGGAGAGCCACTGCTTCGACCCACTTGGAGACGTAGTCAACTGCTACTAATATGTACTTGTTACCATACGAGCTAACAAATGGCCCCATGAAGTCGATCCCCCACATGTCAAAAACCTCCACTTCTTGAATTGTGGTCATTGGCATCTCGTGTCGGCAAGATATGTTGCTTGTCCTTTGGCATTCATCCCAACTTTTGACCTAAGCATGGGCATCCTTGAATAGAGTTGGCCAATACAAACCCGACTCCAACACCTTAGTTGTTGTCCGAATTCCTCCAAAGTGTCCACCATATGGTGAAGCATGGCAAGCCTGCGAAACAGAATGTTGATCTTTCTCGGGGATACAACTCCGGATCATGTTATCTACACATATTTTAAATAGTAGAGGTTCATCCCAATAATAAGACCGACAATCACGAAAGAACTTTTTCTTTTGAATTGAGAAGAGTTCATAAGGAACAATACCACTTGCTAAATAATTAGCAATATCAGCATACCACGGTGCCTCCTCCATTGTCATTGCTATTTACTGTTCATCTGGGAATGTCTCTGTTATATCCTCAACCTCTACCTTCTTTTCAGCTCTTTCCAACCTTGAGAGGTGGTCAGCTACTTGGTTCTATGTCCCTTTTCTGTTACGGATCTCCAGATCAAATTCTTTTAACAAAAGAACCCAGCGAATCAAGCGTGGCTTTGACTCCTTCTTTTCTATCAGGTACCTAATTGCTACATGATCAGTATAAACAATAACTTTTGAGCCAATCAAGTATGACCTAAATTTGTCGAATGCAAAAATGACAGCCAACATCTCCTTTTCCGTCATGGTGTAATTGAGTTGTGCACCGCTTAGCGTTCTACTTGCATAGTAAATCAGGTGCATCAGTTTATCCTTTCGCTGCCCCAAGACTGCTCCTATAGCATAGTCACTTGCTTCGCACATAAGCTCGAATGGTTGCTCCCAGTTGGGTGCAACAATGATGGGTGCAGTCACCAATCTCTTCTTCAGCTCCTCAAATGCCAGCCTGCAATCATTAGAAAACACAAAGGGCTGATCCTTTTCAAGTAGTTTGCATAAAGGGTTAGCAATCTTAGAGAAATCTTTTATGAATCGCCTGTAGAACCCGGCGTGCCCAAGGAAACTTATCACTGCCTTGACTGAAATAGGCGGTGGTAACTTCTTAATCACGTCAACCTTAGCATGGTCAACCTTGATTCCCTTACTAGACACTCGATGCCCCAAGACTATCCCTTCAAGTACCATAAAATGACACTTTTCCCAGTTCAGCACTAAATTTGTCTCCACACATTTTCTAAGCACTCTTCTTAAGTTGTGAAGACAGTCCTCGAATGAATCCCCTACCACGGATAAATCATCCATAAATACCTCAATAATGTCCTCCACCATGTCGGTAAAAATGGCTAACATGCACCGTTGTAATGTCGACGTGCATTGCAATGCCTAAACGACATTCTTCGAAAGGCAAAGATGCCATACAGACAGGTGAATTATGTTTTCTCTCTGGCTTAGGAGGCTATTGAGATCTGATTGTACCCCGAATATCCATCCAAGAAATAGAAGTGAGATCGCCCAGCCAACCCGTCCCGCATTTAGTCAATGAATAGCAAGGGAAAATGGTCCTTCCGGGTGGCTGTGTTCAATTTTCGGTAATCCATGCAAATCTACCATCCCGTGACTGCAGGATTTGAGATCAACACGTTATTCTCATTTTGTACGACCGTCATTCCTCCCTTTTTCGGCACACACTGAACAGGGCTGACCAAATTGCTGTCAGAGATGGGGAAGATCGCATCTAACCATTTGATCACTTACTTCTTCACCACCTCTTTCATATTTGGGTTCAGCCTTCGTTGATGTTCTCTGGAAGGTTTGTGCCCTTCTTCCAAGAGAATCTTGTGCATACAAAAAGCTGGGCTGATACTCTTTATGTCCGCCATGGTCTAACCAATGGCAGTCTTACATTCCCGTAGCACTTGTAGGAGCTGCTCTGCCTACACAGCTAGCAAACCGGATGATATAATAATAGGTAAAGTAGAATCAGGCCCTAAGAAAATATACCTAAGGTGAGCTGGGAGTGGCTTCAGCTCCAGTTTGGGTGGTTCCTCTACTAATGGTTTTGTCAGTGGTGTAGCCCTCTTTTCTAACTCAAGGGACTTGAACTGAGGTTCACTCTTCCAGAATCCTTGGCCTTCGAGTGCCATGACCCACGCTACCAAACCTTCACCATCCATCTCCTCTAAATTTGTCAAACAAGCCCCCAATGATCTTTAGTAGTCAGGGTCTCATCATCTCGTGCAGGATCTTATCCACTGCCTCTACCAGGGAGCAATTATAATATTCACCGGGTCTTCTCATGGATTGCTGAACATTGAATATGACTTCTTCATTGTTAAACCACATTTTTAATTCCCTAGTTTCACAATCGATCAGTGCTCTCCCAGTGGCTAAGAATGGCCTCCCTAAAATGATAGGTATCTCTTCATCTACCTGGCAATCCAGAATAACAAAGTCCGCAGGGAGTACAAACCTCCCCACTTGTACCAACACATCATCAAGAATCTTTTTCGGCCTTTTAACCGTGCGGTCATCCAGTTGCAAAAGCATCAAAGTCGGTCTAGCTCTGCCAATGCCCAGTTTGGTATATATGGCCAGAGGCATCATGTTTATGTTGGCTCCTAAGTCACATAATGCCTTTGCAAAGGCATAACTCCCAATAGTGCACGAAATAGTAATGCTACCTGGATGAGACATCTTTTGAGCCATGGATCTTGTCACTACTGCACTGCAGGTCTGTGTCAGAGTTACTGTGGATAGGTCCTGAAAGTCATATTTTCGTGACATTAGGTCCTTCATCATCTTTGCATAGACTGGCATCTCCCTCAAAGCATCCATCAGAGGAATATTCAATTGAATTTGATGAAGCATCTCCATGAATTTCTTGTATTGATCTTCCTTCTTTTATTTTGCTAGTATCTGAGGGAATGGTGCAGGTATCGCCCTTTGTGCACTACTTGCTGGCTTCTCTCTGTTGGAGTTCAGTGGCACAAGAGGTACCACTTGTTCTGCAGCGTTTTCACTCTTCTTAGCCTTACCCTTATCATTCTGAACCCGTTCAACCACCACATCAGTAAGTTCTACTGATTCATCTACCTCTAATGGAGCTGGAGTGGCTGGCGATGTCACTTTGCTGGATTGTGCTACTTCTTGCTCCTTGTCTAAATCTCTCCCATTCCAGAGACTTACGGCCATGAGCTGATTCGGGTTTTGCTCCTTGGGGTTAATGTTTGTGTCTGCTGGCAATGTTCCCTAGGGGCGGTTGTTTAAGGCCATGGATAGCTGCCCCAATTGAGTTTCAATGTTCTTTATTGCTGAGTTATGAACTGCCAACTTTTCCTTCATCTTACCATTCGTTCCAATGAGTTGTTGAAGCATACCCCTGATCTCTACCATGTTGTTATCTTGCTGCTGAGGAGGTGGCTGATATGCCAACTGTTGCTGGTTCTACTGTGGATAGCCTGTTGTCTCTGATATGGCACCATTTGGCCTTGGGGCTGCATACCTCCAGGTTGTGGCATGTTTGGTCTGTACTGTTGATTGGGTGCTGGTCTCCACTGCTATCCTCCTTATCTCTGGCCCCCAAAGTTGTTGACATAATTCATATCCTCTCTTAAACCTTGGTTGTCACATTTTACACTCCATGACCACACATAAGACTGATTAATGCAGGGTGTACACAGTCCTCCATTTGTTGTGTCAACAATATGCACTTGCTTTGTACCCATCTCATCAATCTTCTTAGTCAATATACTCATCTGAGTCATGAGTGTGGCTATGTTATGTGCATGCAAATTATTTGGGTCAAGAGGAACTGAATGCACTATTGGTGCCAGTGTTGTGCCCCTCGTCATCCACCCCAAATTTTGGGACATCTTGTCAAGAAGGATTTTGCACTCGGTGAATGTCTTACTCAAAAATGCACCCCCAGCTGAAGCATCTACATTGGCCTTTAGATTGTACACTAACCCCATGTAGAATCTCTAGACAAGCATCTGGTCTGGAATACCATGGTGGGGACACTTCACTAACATCCCTTTGAATCTTTCCCAGTTTCCTGCAAGGTCTCAGTAGGCTTCTGCTTGTACTGCAATATCTCATCAATCTGTCTTGCAGTCTTGTTGGGTGGGTAAAACTTGTTCAGGAACTGCTTGACTAATTCCTCCTAGGTGATAATAGAATTTATTGGGAGCGAATTCAGCCAGGTCTGAGCTTCCCCAATCACAGAGAACGGGAATAGTAACAGCTTGATAGCTTCTGGGGTTGCATTTGGTTGTCTTTGGGTTACACATATCGACAAGAAAAATTTGAAATGTTGTTGAGGGTCTTCAATGTGTGACCCGGAGAACAATCCCTTATTTTGCAGCAGGTGCAGCATGTTGTTAGTGATCTGGAATGTCTCCGCTTGTATTGGGGGCGCAACAATGGCAGTGGCCAGGTTGTCAGCTATTGGTTGTGCCCAATCATAAAGTGCAGCTTCTGGTACAAGAGGTTCTACCACTCTTACGTTTGGGTCAGCTGGCTCATCCCTGATGTTTCCGTCGACGTTGTTTACGTCACCCATGTCAATTTCAAGTTGGTGTGCTTGTTGTGATTATTTGTTCTTCTTGTTGGCACGGTTCAATGCCCTGAATGTTTTCTCAGGGTCTGAGAGTCCTTCAAGCAGTTCTCCAGTCCTCGAAGAATTCCTAGGGATACACCTGAATCCCACAAGAGTTCAAACATGAGAATTTCAATGAAACAAAAATTGTTTAATACGTTAGAAATTTTATCTAAACTAATAATTCCAGCACTACTTCTAAGTTGTAATAAATAACACTATTAATTCCCCGGCAGCGGCGCCAAAATTTGATCACGCCCAACTATGCGTTATAAAAAGGACAAAGCGGTTGTTGCAAATATAATTCGGTTTTAAGTTCGGAGTCAAATATCCAGGGAACTAACCTATCTATTACAACTCTTGGCAATGTTATTATCAACTCAAACAATTTTCCGATGCAAATTTTTTATCAATAAAGGTTGTTTTTTTTGTTCAACTACTTTAAATGTGATTAAGAATAACAATATGCTAAATCAAAGATAATTCAATGGTAAAAAGGTCTAGGGTATTGATTTACCCAACAACTAGTTTAAGTTTTAACTCTTTTGCTATAATCTCGCCGTAATACTCTATGAGGATTATGAGCTATGGGTTATCGTAATTATCTCTCGATCAACTACGATAATTTACTAGAGCATTATCTCGAACTACTCTAGCTGATAATTTGTGTAGCTCTAAATTATTCCACCAAAGCTTCATTATCTTTAACCCCACTTTTAAATTCAAGTAATGAATCTCTTCACTTACCCAAAAGTGGTGTTGTTCAACAACAGTCTAACCTAGTATTCTTTCTCAAGCAACACACAACAATTAGACACGATTAATCAAGGGCCCATTCAATTAATCACCATACAAAACGTAGTTGAACAATTATATAAAAAATCAATCTCGATTATAATAAAGTTGAGACGAACATTCTGCCTCGCGTCTTTGGCCTTCCGCGGTCGATTCACGGTCCACCGTGGTCGTGGTGGATTCAAACGTAGTCCACTTTTGGCTTCTTTCCGCTCGGGTGCTTCTTGATTGGACGTTTTCTTCACATTATTGAGTCCAAAACATTCCATAGTTCTTCCTAACTTGGATTAGTCCATGCGAAGCAAAAGAACACCATTTAGAGCATTTTGTTATCATTTAGCCTATAAAACAACAATAAAGCATGGTATAATTAGGGTGTAAATATCGTCTATGTAGCCTATTATCAGGAGGCAAGGATTAGCCTCATGCAAGAATGGAGTCAGGGCTTAGACTCATGCAGACAGAAGGCAGTGCTTAGCCTTATGCAAATATGGAGTCTGGGATTAGACTCATGCAAATATGGAGTCAGGGCTTACACTCATGCAGGTATGGAGACCGAGCTTAGTCTCATGCAAGGAGAAGGCCGCGTTTAGCCTTATGCAAATATGGAAGTAGAGCTTAACCTCATGCATGATTCAGGACAGGGCTTAGCCCCATGCAAATGGAAGGCAATGCTTAGCCATTATGTAGATATGGAGGTAGAGCTTAACCTCATGCAAGATGTGGGATAGGGCTTAGTCCCATGCAAATGTGAAGTTAAGGATTAGACTCATGCAAATGTGAAGCCAAGGACTAGACTCATGCAAATGTGGAGTCAAGGATTAGACTTATGCAAAGAGAAAATAGCAGATAAAGGTAGAGTATATCTTAGCTAGGATAGGTTCAGTGTCTAACGACCGGATGGATGGTGAATTTGCTTTGTGTATGAATGCTATCATCAAATGTGCCTACATTCAAAGAAAAATCATAAGTTTCATGAGGGGAGGTTGCTTCTTGCTTCGTTTACCGACCTTGCTTTGCTCCGCTCTGGAAGCTCCTTCGAGTTCCCCTAGGTAGCACCTGACTGTTATAAAAAAAATAGAATTTTCGAAAAATATACATTCATTGATAAAATGGGATTGCTTTGGAAGCCTATTAATATATCAAGTAACTTTTGACGAACTAGCGACTATGACACATTTCAAAGGCATTGCAACTCTCTTATGTTGGAATTTTGAGGGTCTTCCTCAAAATTCTGCCCCAATTTGGTAGATTATTTCCAACAATTTGCGGATGGCGGACCTTGCTAAATCTTCTTCGGAATTTTGAGAATCCTTCTCAAAATTCTGCCATAATTCTTGACTAATGACTGACTTCCTGGCCTGTGATGGCATTGGCTGGACTTGCTCCAGAATTTTGAGGGCCCTCCTCAAAATTCTGCCCCAGATTCTAATTCCGGGGGAAAATAAAAATTTTATTATGATATGACCGAATCCATAAGCCTGCCTATGTATCCCCTCTTAAACGGGAATCATGTCAAGCATAGTTCAATTACATCTGAAAAGAAATGTGAAATAATCTAAGCATAGTATCTCTTAATTGTGTCTGAATTGATTGGTTTTGGCCATATTTCGCCATCCATTTCTGCAAGTATGAGTGCTACTCCTGTCAGCACCCTGTGAACCATGTGTGGACCTTGCCAGTTGGGAGAGAATTTCCCTTTGGCTTCATCTTGGTGTGGGAAGATCTTCTTCAATACCAGCTGCCCTGGTGCGAACTGTCTTGGTTTGACTCTTTTGTTGAATGTTTTAGACATTCTGTTCTGATAGAGTTGGCCATGTCATACTACGTTCATCCTCTTTCCATCGATAAGGGCCAATTGTTCATAGCGACTCCTTATCCATTCTGCATCACTGAGTTCATCTTCCTGTATGATTCTTAAAGAAGGAATCTCTACCTCGGCTGGGATGACAACCTCGATACCGTAAACCAGCATGTAGGGGGTTGCCCTGGTTGACATGTGAACTGTAGTGCAGTACCCTAACAGAGCAAAGGTTAACTTCTCATTCCATTGCTTGTGATTCTCTACCATTTTCCTTAGTATATTTTTAATGTTCTTGTTAGCGGCTTCTACGGCTCCATTCATCTGAGGTATGTAGGTGGTGGAATTATTGTTCATGATTTTGAAAGTTTCACATATAGCTTTCATCAGATCACTGTTGAGGTTAGCGGCATTGTTAGTGATAATGGACTCAGGAACTCCGAATCGGCACATAATACGATCCTTGACAAAATCTGCGACGACTTTCTTCATTACAGCTTTGTAATATGTAGCTTCTAACCATTTTGTGAAATAATCAATGGCTACCAGAATAAACCGGTGTCCGTTTGAAGCCTTGGGCTCAATCGGACCAATAACATCCATTCCCCAGGCGCCGAATGGCCAAGGTGAGCTTGTTGCATT